AGTGTATTTGAGAAGCCAGAGAAAACTTGACACTCAAATGCACTTTCTTCTAAGAAAAAAAAAAACTCTGATTTTGCAATATGGATATTTTTTACAATAAATTACATCTAAGATATGCAAAAAAAGACAAAAAAATACAGAAAAAATACAGGAAGATGATACCAAAAAAAAAAGATCTTAATACTAGTAGTTATATTTTTGACAGTTTTAACTGCAATGAAATTTGTGAGCACAATGTACAAGCGACTAATCCAATGACAATTAGGGACAGCTAAGTAATCTACATACTGTACAGGATTATTCTACATACAATGCACTTCATTAAGGACTAGTATCACATATCAAGGCCTTAGTAATAACAGCTCTATGGCCAGAGTTGAGAGGGAATAAAATGGCCTAGGCGTTTTAAACTTTCAAAAGAAGCTCCAGTTCTTTAGCTTTATCTCGCTTACAATATTTACAGGTTATGTGTTGCTTGTGCCTTGAATTCTCGACAAATTTGTTCTTTTTTTATATGTTTTGTTATCTTTATTGTCTGTGTTATTATTGTAATTTCACACAAAAAAGATACATATTAACTCCCAACAGTTAATACGCATTTATTGTCATGATTAACCTTTCCGTGGCGGGAGAACGAGCATAAAACGTCTAGGCCAACCTCTTCAGAATATGATTTGTGAAAAAAAGAGAATAATATATATCTAATAAAATCATCAAGTCGATTTACAGAGTCATAGAAATGAACAAATCACTCACAGGAGTTGCCATTTTCTCGACCAGGTAAAAGGTGTTTTAAAAGGTAATCATTTCTCCTTCAGGGCGCGCAGTCGATACCCAGAGAACTTTGGTTCAGCGGGAGATTGTTGAAATTCCGATTTCCTCCTCCGAGCAGGGATATATTTGACGAAAAGACAATCATTCCGTGCTCGAAAGAAGGGAATACGTGTGTGTATGTGGGAGCCTCGCATACTTTCGTGTACAGAGCAAGGTGGGCCAAGAATTCCATATTTTTTTCCAGGTTGTGTAATAGTGTTTTTCCTTTTTCTACTTCGGGGCGCCGATTTTGTCCTCTGTAAAACTTTTAACACAACAGATTATTCACAATCCGAATCTCTTTTTAGAAACGGGATTATTTTCTCCTGTTTCTCTTATTATCAGACGATATGTAGAATTTCTGCTTGTGCTTGGCAGCCTCCTCGATCTATTACAGCCTCTGGATCTAGGGCCACAGCGCGCAAGTAATGTCAGACGTTTTGATTTTCAACACTCATTTTCTTTTATTTTCGTTTTCTTCACTCTGTTCGGATTATAAATGTTTCTCCGATGTAATTAGATTTGTAATTTCACAATTATGTAGACAGATTTTCTTCTATCATATCACTTTACCACATGCGAGCGGGTGACGTGGCAACCGCGCATAGTAAACACATGCATACATAAAAGCGCAGGTGAAAATAGTGGCCCTAATATCAAAAAAAAAATATATCAGAAACAAAAATAAAACATGACAGTGATAAATGATCCCTGCACGTATTGCAAACACATTTCACATTAAATTGCATATATAGAAGTAGTCCAGGAGTCAGTTAGACTCTCTTAAGATTAAGAATTTCGAGAGAACGCTTCAGCCAGAGAGCGTTGAGTATTGCACAGGGATCATGTATATAAAGATTTATTTATTGGCACAATGCAGCCGCACCAGAATCTATTATTTTCTGGACTTTATTGTACTGCAATGCCAAAAATAAAATACGTAAAAAATGAACATGAAACATCAGAAATAAAAAATATAAGAGAGAGACCTCTGTGGCGTGGACACTTGTATATTGAAATATATAGATATATATATATTTATTCTTACAAACTAAAGAACATTTGACTTCAATATATCAAAGAAATTCAAGCACCTTAAAAATGACGTGTAAAATATACATTGGATACGTCCGGCATTGCGACGATGCCAATCAAAAAAAAAAAAAAAAAAAAAAAAGGGAAAAGTGTATTCTTTATACTTGAATCTATTAAAAATTCCTAATGTTAATCTACAAATTGGAACCTCTTCCTTGACACACATGATCTTCGTTCACATTTTGCAAACTTTCTTTTCTTTCTTTTCTCGTTTTAGAAAAAAAAAACTTTGAGTTTTTAGAAGACTGTGGGCGCCATATTTGTACCTGGAGTTCACACACGCAGGTCCAATTTTTTATCCGCAAAATTCCCCTGTATTTGTTTTATATTCTATCCGTCATACAGCCAGTTGCATGATCATTCATTAAGATATTTGAGTATTCTTGTAAATTCATGATGATGATAATAATAAAACAAATGGAAATATTTCATTTGGCTACCGTTTGCACAACGCCAAAATGCAACCCCTGTTAATGGGGTTATCAATTCATTAATTCCGTGTACCATTAACGTCAGGACATATGCGTTCCTTTCCACAAAAAATACGTACATCAAAATAATAATCAAAATAATGAAAAAAGTCGAAAAAAGGGAAAGTGAGTGAGAGGTTTGCGTGTATCTTACATCACGTGACCAGCTATCAGCGCCTAGTGCTCCCTTGGGCCGACAGATGGCAGCATCGTCCATTACCTTAATGAAACTGTAAACCCGCAACTCCCCAGTAAACCGGGGGGTACAGGGGGGGGAGGGTAAGGGCAAAGGTAAGGGCCAGGGAAATGGGTAAGGGGGGGGGGGGTAGGGACCGGCAACTTCCCTATTCATTTCCTCTCGAAAAGGGACCCGGGAGGGGGGGAGGGGTAGGGAGACGGGAGGGAAAGGTTGGAGCAAGCGACACTCGGCCTTAATGGTACCTGATCCTAAGGTTCAAAATCGCCGACACCCGTTGGAGAGAGAGAAAAAAATAATATATATTTATATTATGGCATGTAGGACTAGCGTTTCGTGAATTCTGTTTTATATTTTCTTTATTTTATTTATGCTATTAGACTTAATATAAAAAAAGCTGATTTGATAGATGTCTATATACTTTTGTACAAATACAGATACGGCGTGTCTATATAACTCTGGGTTAAGATAACTCTCTAAATATATAAAGAAATATAGAATGTGGAATCTAAAAAATATATATATATATTTATATCTATGTGATATAAAGGTTTCTTTAAAGGGAGGTGAGTATGGCACAATATGAGCATTCTTATTCAGTTTCTGCAATGGTACTTGAAAATAGAATAAATAAATAGAAAAACAATAATAATAATGATAATAATCATAATATATAATATAATAATAACATAATGATAATAATGATAATAATAATTATAATGGTAAAAATAGCAATAATACTAATAGTAATAATGATAATAATAATAATAATAATAATAATAATAATAATAATAATAATGATAATAAATGATAATAATGATAGAATTTAAAAAATAAATGATGATAAAAATAATTCTTGTTTTATTATTTTTTCCTCTTTTCATTTCACATTTTTGGGTTACTAGATATATAGGCCTATTTGAATAATAATAATAATATAAAAACCTCTGTCGTATGCATCTCGTCATTGCTTGTCGGTTTTGCTTCACTAATCAAGAGAATCTTTGAACAATTAAAATTAATTCCTCTGTCTTATGCCTTCTATCTTTGTCGTATTTCTCGCGTTTTTGTCCGTTTTTCATACTAGACGAATAGGCCTATATTAATCTTCGAAGGAATCTAGAAGTGTCTCATCAACTTGACCCTTATTGCAGCGAAGCACCAAAGAGTATCTTTCAATTGGTGATTATACGAAGGGGGAGGAGGGGGGAAGGGGTAGGGAGGGGCAGTTTGGGAGATAAAGATGAGGGGGGAGAAGAAGGAAGGGGGATAGGAGTAGTTTTTTTCTTTCTTTCTTTCTTTCGTTCTTTCTGTCTCTTTTTTTTCTCTTTCTCTTTCTCTCTCTCTTTCTTTCTTTCTTTCTCTCTCTTTCTCTCTCTCACATGCACTCACATTCTCTCTCTCTCTCTCTCTCTCTCATGCATTCACTCTCTCTCTCCTCTCTCTCTCTCTCTCTCTCTCTCTCTCTCTCTCCCTCTCCCTCCCTCCCTCCCTCCTCTCTCTCTCCTCTCTCTCTCTCTCTATCTCTATCTATCTCTATCTAGCTATCTCTCACATGCACTCTCTCTCTCTCTCTCTCTCTCTCTCTCTTCTCTCTCTCTCTCTCTCTCTCTATCTATCTATCTATCTATCTATCTCTCACATGCACTCACATTCTCTCTCTCTCTCTCTCTCTCTCTTCTCCCTCTCCCTCTCTCTCTCTCTCTCTCTCCTCTATCTATCTATCTATCTATCTCTCACATGCACTCCCATCTCTCTCTCTCTCTCTCTCTCTCTCTCTCTCTCTCTTCTCTCTCTCTCTCTCTCTCTCTCTCTCTCTCTCTCTCTCTCTCTCTCTTCTCTCTCTCTCTCTCTCTCTCTCTCTCTCTCTCCCTCTCTCCCTCCCTCTCTCTCTCTCTCTCTCTCTCTCTCTCTCTCTCTCTCTCTCTCTCTCTCTCTCTTTCTCGCCCCCGTTGCACTCACAAGCCCTTCGATAATTGGGATGCACACGCACCATGTGTCCGAAGATCTGTTAACGAACATGGGTGTGCTCGAGTCACGTGATCGCGCTGGAAGCCAAAAGGACGAACATATGGTAAGTGGACAGAGGGGGGAGGGGGGGGGGAAGGGGGATATACCCATATGCTCACGTGTTTATGAGGGAAGGAATAGGGGAAGGAGGGTGAGGATGAGGAGAGAAGGAGGGGGAGAGGAGAAAAGGGAGTGGAGGGGGGAGAAGGAGGAGAGAGGGAGGAAGAAGGAGAAGAGAAAATGAGGGAGAGGGAAAAGGGAAGAGAGAAGGAGAAGGAAAAAGGGAGGAGGAGGGAAGAGGGGAGAAGAAGCAGAAGCGAGGAAGGGGAGGAGAGAAGGAGGAGAAGAAATGGAAGGTGAAGGGGGAAGAAGAGGGAGGGAGAGGGGAGAAGGGGAAGGGGAGAGTGGTAGGGGGGGGGGGTCACAGTTGATGAGGCATTGTAGATCGAATTAGCATAAAGACGAGAGGGAAAGTGTACACAAATGGGCACGTGATTCAAGACATTACGGCGACCGCTGATGGCATTGAGTACCTTAATGATCGAAACAAGATGCCCTTCCTGATACCCTTGTTTGTGTTGGCATCTGGGTATGTATTTTTTCGTTTTTTTATATCTGCTTCTTTCTTTCTTATTTTTCTTTCCTTTGTCTGTTTTTCTTGGGTGTAAATTTTTGATTTTGAGAACGACCGTGTCTAATAAGGTCTCTTCGTCATGAAGAAAACACCCATTCCCTCCCTGTATTTTTATTTCCCTTATTCTATTTCTTTTATCTCTCTCTCTCTCTCTCTTCTCTTTTTCTCTCTGACTGTTCTTTGTCCCGAAGGCGGAACGGAGGAACGGAGGAACGGATGGAACGTTAAGCAAAAGTTTGGGTCCAGAATGCCAAGTGTGTCACGACAGGTCACGCGTGCGGGGAAGAGGTCACCTGGTAACATAGGTCAGACTGGGGGGTACCGAGCTTGAGAGAAAAAAAGGAAAAAAATCGAAAATAAAAAATAGATATACCCCTCCAGCCTTTGTACACCGGCTGTATGTATGTACAGTGGGCGCGTGTGCGTGCGTGTGCGCCCGCAGACTACACGCTCTCGTGCCGCTTCATGTGCAGGCTGAGGTGGTCCGAGCGCGAGAAGGCCCTCTCGCACAGGCGGCAGCGGAAGGGCCTGTCGCCCGTGTGCTTCCGAAGGTGCCGCGTCAGCTCGTCGCTCCGGGCGAACTTCCAGCCGCAGCCCTTCCAGTTGCACATGTACGGCTTCTCGCCCGTGTGCGTGCGCAGGTGCGCCTTGAGGTGCGACGACTTGGTGTAGATCTTGTGGCAGCCGGGGTGCTGGCACGTGTGGGCCGTGATCTTCTTGCGCCCCGTCGTCTTCTTCACCACCTTGGCCTCCTGGTCGTCCGGCGGAGGGGGCGCGGGCGGCTCGCGGGCGGCCTGGTGGTGGTGCTCCGAGCCCGTGAGCGTGAGGGCGTGACACGACGCGGCGGTGGTCACGGGCGTCGACAGGAGCTCGGAGAGGTTGGGCGACGAGGGCGGGGTCATGACCTTGACCAGCGTGTGCAGCGTCTGGCGGGTGAGGGCGTGGGTGGTCAGGGGCGCCGCCGTGCCGCCACGGGGGTCACGCCCGCCGTAGACACCCTGACCCCGGAGGCAGCTCCTCGTTGTCGGGGGACGCCGGGGGAGACATCTGGCCGTGGGTGTAGGTGACCTGAGTGACCCCGGCTACGGAGGGCGACTGCGGGGTGGAGGTGGGGGGCCCGGGCGCCAGGGGGGGCGCCATGCCCTCGCCCTGCGGCTGCGGCTGCGGTATGCACTGCTGCTGTTGTTGCTGCAGGTGCTGCTGCTGAATCTGCTGCTGCTGCTGTTGCTGCTGTTGGTGTTGATGCTGTTGGTTGATGCTGTTGCTGTTGTTGCTGCTGTTGTTGTTGCTGTTGTTGTTGCTGCTGCTGTTGCTGCTGGTGGGCGCCCGTGATGGCGGAGAGCGGCGGGAGCGCGGGGCCGTACGTGCTGAAGGCGAGGGCGTGGGCGCGGGCTGCAGTGTGGCGATGGAGGGCAGCTTTGGCGGGCGCCTCGGGGGGCGCGAACTGGAACTGCTCCTGCGCCTCGGGCCGCGGCGGCTGCGCGGAGGCGGGGGCGGGGGTCGCCGTAGTAGTGGCCCTCGGCGGCGCTCTTGGCGAGGGCGTCCAGGTCCACGAAGTCCTCCGCCTGCACCAGGGCGGACGCGTCCATCACGCTGGTGGCGTACTGCGCCGCGCCCAGCTCCTCCGCCACGTACGCGTCCACCTCCAGGCTTTCGACGTAGGCGTTGTAGGGCGAGGCGTACTGGCCGGGGTAGGACGTGTCCATGGGCGTCGTGGCCGGCGACACCCCGCGGTAGTGCTGGTTGTCGTCGCTGGGGACGTGGTAGCCGCCCTGGCTCTCCTCGCCGCCGCCGCTGAGGTTCGTCAGGAGGCCGTCCGAGGGCGGCGGCGGCGGCGGGCAGTAGGGCGCGTACTGCAGGGAGTGCAGGCGCGGCGTCAGCGGGGCCGTCAGGGCCTGCGACAGTATCGAGGGCGTCTGGGGCAGCGACGGAGCGCTGAACATCGTGGTCGGCGACGACGACGACGGCGGCGACGTGGATGTGGGCGTGGCCAGGGCGTCCGACGTGACGACGAGGGCGGGCAGCGGCTCCGGGTCCGGGCTGGACGCGTTGCCCAACAGCACCGTCTCGATGTCGTGCCACATCTGCGGGAGAGAGACAAGGCCCGTTAACTCTGGATCGTAAACCAAAATAGATTCATAAAAGCGCTCCGAACAGATCGCTCGCCACGGAGAGGGAGATGGGCGATAAGGCGATAAGGCCGAAGCAATAACTCCAAACACAAGCACGCACTCATAACCACAACCGCAGCCACGTTAAGATCGACGGACAAAGCCGGGGTGTCACTTATCCATCCATCGACAAGGCGAATAAAAATCATATCGACAATAAAACGTGTCGGCACCTCGAGGGGCGCTCCGACGACGGGTTCAAGCGATAAGAGGAGAGGGAGAGGAGAAGGGGGAGGGAGAGGGGGTAAGGAGAGACAGGGAAGAGAAAGGGAGAGAGGAGAGAGGAGAAGGAGAGGGGGAGAGAGAGAAGGAGAAGAGGGGAGAAGAGAGAGGAGAGAGAGAGAGGAGAGGAGAGGAAGGAGAGAGAGGGCGAGGGTGAAGGAAAAGAAGAGGGAGAGTGGGAGGGGAAGGAGAGGGAGAGTGGGAAGGGGGAGGGAGGAGGAGAGAGAGAGGGAGAGGGAGACGGAGAAGGGGAACCAGAAGGAAGAGAGGAGTGAGGGAGGTAGAGACATACATAATGAGGAAAAACATACACACACACACATACGTGTATATGTTTGTGTGTGTGTGTGTGTGTGCATATAAGTATCTATGTATACGCTGATATAAATGAACACAAATCCAATAAATGCAAGAACAATAAATACATCCCACCCACTCCACCACCCAACCCCTCCACCTCCCCGTTCCCCCACTCCTTCCACCTCCCACCTCCCACCCCACCCGCCCCCTTTCACAAATAACAGTAGATCATGTCTGCTCGAGAGAACAGCTCCCATAAGCACAGGGGGGGGGGGGGGGGGGCTGGCTGTTCCTCCCTGCCGTTCCCTCCCTGATAGATTCTTCACCGTCGACACCTGCAGTTCCTCACAAGAAGTCTTCGCCAGATATGACTTCCATTTTAGATAAGAAAAACCTGAAGACCTGGAGGCGTCGATCCTTATCTCCGCAGTCCCATAAGTGAATTTTTTGGGCGGCAGGATAAACAAGAACATTTACTTACGTGTTATGTTAAGTTTGGCTTTTTTTTGTGTGTGTGTGTTTGTGTTTATGCTTTAACATGAATTCCAATTTCTTTTACGTCTTCATATTCAATTTGTCTTGTTTTTGTTGATTGTTTTTGTTGTTGTTTTGTGTTTGTTATTCTATCTTCTTTCCTTTTTTTGTTTATTTGTTCTCGGGTCACGAATGAGAAATTGGGAAGTGGAGTAAATAAGGAATAATTCAAGTAAAAAAGAAATGAGATAAAAGAAAAAGGAAGGATGGGGATAGCCATAAAGGCAGAAAAAAGATGGAAGGGAAGGGAGAAGGAAGACGAAGAAGAAGGAGAATGAATAGGAGATAGAACGAAAAGGAAGAGGGAGAAGAGGAAGGGAAGAGAAGCGAGGGAAGGAGGGAGGAAGATAAAAAGATTGGAGTGTGGGAGGAAGTGAGGGCGAACGGAAGGGGGACTGGAGAAAAGGAGAAAGAGAGAGAGAAGAGAATTAGAAGAAGAGAATAATGAACGAATAAAGGGAGAGAGAAGGAGACCAGGGAGGGAAGGATAAACAGATAAAAGGAGGGAGAAGGAGAAAGGAGATCTGGAGGGAGCGGGAGGAGGAGGGACGGACGAACGGAGGGAGAGAGGGAGGGAAGGGGGGGGGTGAGTGTATCTGAATTAAAACACACTAAAACGACTCATAAAGACGTCGAAACCGAATTGAAAAAGCAGTGGGGGACCTGGTCAACGCGGCTAGGGGGAGGGGTGGGGGAGGGTGAGCAGAGGAGGAGTAGGAGGATGGGGGATGGGGGTGGGAGGGAGGGGTGGGGGGGGGGTGAGCAGGAGAAGGAGTAGGAGGATGGGGGTGGGAGGGAATAGGAGAAGGAGTAGGGGGGGGTGGGGTGGGGGGTGAGCAGGAGGAGGAAGAGGGTGGAGCAGGTGAAGGAGTAGGAGAAGGAGGTGGGGGTGGGAGGGAGGGTGGAATAGGAGAAGGAGCAGGAGGAGGGGGAGGGGGGGGGGGTAGGAAAAGGAGAAGGAGGAGGGGAGGGAGGGGAGGGGGGGGCAGGAGAAGGAGGAGCGAAGAGGGGGGAGGAGAGGAAGAGGGAAGGGTAAGAAACAGAGAGGGAGAGAGGAAGAAAAGTGATAACATAATAGATGGGGGGGGGGGGCGAGATAATAGGAGAGGACTCAGAAGAATAGAGACGAGAAAGAGAGGAGAAGACGGAGATAAGATAAGATATTTAAGGATAGAGAATGACGTGATAGAGTTTCAGTAAAAAAAAAAAAAAAAAAAAAAAAAAAAATGAAATAGCAATTTTTCTCCGTTTTTCAACTTTTTTTTTTTAATCACATTTAACCCTCTTATTTTTTCTGTTCATTTACTTTTCGTCCGCTACTTAATCACTTAGAAATTAGTGAAGAGAAAACATGAAATATATAGAGAAAGAGAGTAAGAGAGGTAGATAGATAGATAGATAGATAGATAGATATATAGAGAGAGAGCGAACGAGAGCGAGAACAAGAGCGAGAGAGCGAGAGAGAGAGAGACCGAAAGAAAGCAAGAAAGAAAGAGAGAGAGACAGAGAGAGAGAGGGAGACCGAAAGAGAGAGAGAGAGAGAGAGAGAGAGAGAGAGAGAGAGAGAGAGAGAGAGAGAGAGAGAGAGAGAGAGAGAGAGAAGAGAGAGAGAGAGAGAGAGAGAGAGAGAGAAAGAAAGAAAGAGAGAGAAAGAAAGAAAGAAAGAAGAAAAGAGAAAGAGAGAGAGAGAGAGAGAGAGAATATAAAAAATAAGTCCCTACTGCAGTGATAAACTGAGTCCGGCCCTGGGTGGTGACTTTTACAATGTAGTTGATTGATTTAGGAAGATGCCAAGCGGAGGAAGAGATAGGAAGAGAGGAAGAGAAGAAGAGGCGATAAAAGGGGTGGAAAGGAAGGAAGAGAGAAGAGAGAGAGAGAGTTAAAAAGGGGGAGAGTGGAGGGTAAAAAGACATTAAGGTATAAATGGAACGAAAAGAGGACAAAAAGAGAAGGAAAAAAAGAAAGAAAGGAGAAGAAGAAGGAGAGAGAGAGTACAAAAAGTAAAGAAAGAGTAAATAAGGAATGCAAAGAAAGAAGCATGATTATATAAGAAATGTGAGTAAAATATATTTATATCCTTTTTAAGAAAGAAATTTAAATACATTTTCTATCGATTCATTCATCCATATATTCAGTACAATTACCGTGATAATATTTCTTTTTTACTGTAACTGTCAGTTTTAGAAGAAAAAAAATAGCAGTAATATTAGCATGAGTAGCAGAAACACCAGTATTAACAGCAGTATTAGCAGCAGTAACAGGATCTATAGTAGCAGGGGCAGTTTTGTAGCAGGCGTTGCAGTTGTAGTTGTAGCAGCAGTAATTGTAGTAGTTATAGCAGGTACAGCAGTTGTAGGAGCAGTAATAGCAGGGGCAGCAGCAGTAGTAGAAAGAATAGCAGTAGTAGCAGGAGCATTTTAGTAGCAGCATTAACAGCAGTATTAGTAGCAGTAATATCAGGGACAGCATCGGTAGTAGGGACAATAGCAGTACTAGGAGCATCAGCAGGAGCATTTTAGTAGCATCGGTAGTAGCAAGAACAGCAGAATTAGTAGCAGTAACAGCAGGAGCAGCAGCAGTAGTAGAGAAAACAGTAGTACTAGCAGTAGTAGCAGAAGCGTTTTAGTAGTAGCAGTAGTAGCAAGAACAACATCAGTAGTAGAGGCAATAGTAGTCCTAGTAGCATCAGCAGGAGCACTTTAGTAGCAGCAGTAGTAGCAAGAACAGCATCAGTAATAGGGACACTAGTACTAGCAACATCAGCAGGAGCACTTTAGTAGCAGCAGTGGTAGCAAGAACAGCAGTAATAACAGCCCTAATACCAGCCTCAGCCTCAGCACCCGCCACCCCCCCCACCCCCCTCACCCCCTTTTTTCCCCCTAAAAGGTGACCCGGCCATTCCTCAAAGGCACACGAGACGATAAGGGACCGTGCTATGCATCACCAGCTCGCCTCCTTATCTTACGCATCGCCGGCACCGCTCCCTTATCAGGCCCGAGATGGATGGTGGGTAATACCCCGGTGCCTTGGTGAAAGGAGGGGGGGGAGGGCGAGGGAGATAAGGGGAGTATGAGGGGATGAGAGGGAGAGAGAGAGAGAGAGGTAGATGGTAGTATGACGGAGGGAGATGGTGCAAGGTAGGAGGGAGAGAAAGAGAGGATGGGAGAAAGGCAAGAGAAAGGAGAGGGAGATAAGGGGAAGTATGAGGGGTGAGAGAGAGAGAGAGGTAGATGTATGAGGGAGATGGGGGAAGAGAGGGGGTGAGAGAGAGGAGAGAGGAGATGATGAGGGAGTGGGGGAAGTATGAGGGGGTGAGAGAGAGAGAGAGGTAGATGTATGATGGAGATGGGGGAAAGAAGGAGGGAGAGAAAGAGAGGATAGGAGAAAGGTGAGGATGATGAGAGGAAGTATGAGGAGATGAAGGAAAGCGAGGGAGAGAAGAGAGGATAGGGAGATAAGGGGAAGTATGAGGCGATGAGAGAGAGAGGCAGGACATGGAGGAAGGAAGAAGGGAGAGAAAGAGAAAACGAAGCGAAGGGTAAAGATGATAAGGGAAGTAAAAAGAGATAGAGGGAAATAGGGAAAGAAAGGGGACAGAAGAGAGAGGAGAAAGATAGAAGGATGAGAAAGTTTTCATTCTAGAGGACGAAGGGTAGAAGGCAATAACGAAGGAAGGAAAGAAAAGAAAAAAAAGAAGAAATGGAGAGACCTCAGTAATAATAATAATATTCATCGACTTATTTACTTATATCACCAAAGCAACACAATAAAAAAAAACATCACATGTACCTTCCCAAGTTTTAAATATCAAAGCAACAAAAAAATCCAAAAAAAAAAAAAAAAAAAAAAATATCTTCCCAAATTCTTATATCACCAAAGCAACAAAAAATCCTTTATCAAACAAAAAACAAACAAACAAAAAAAAAAAAGAAAAATCCTTTATCAAACTAAAAAAAAAAGAAAAAAAGATTCTCATATCAAGTAAAAAAAAAAAAAAAAAAAAAAAAAAAAAAAAAAAATCTTCCCAAATTCTATAACACCAAAGTAACAAAAATTCCTTTATCAAAAAAAAAAAAAAAAAAAAAAAAAGTTTAGATAAGTACCCGCCATCAAAGTCTAATTTCACGATACCTGGATGCAAATTCGGACGCAGTTCCCCTCTCTCTCTAATTACCTGTATTAATGAGTCCCCAGAATTCAGAATTTTTCGGTCCCGGATACTCACGGATATAAATAAGGTCATGTTCATTATACTAATGACCCCTGATGCTGGAGCGACTTGATCAACAGCAGAGATTATACGCTAATTGAACTAGTAGGGTCAGCAAAGGTCAGCGCTGTACCCTTTGCCGTTGGGTCGATTTCTCTAATCGAAGACTGGGATCGCGTAGGCCTTACAGAGCGAGTCTCCGAGGTAAGGTTGCTCTAAAACTTTTTTTTTTTTTTTTTACTTGTTCTTTTGCTTGTTCTTTTTTATCGTTCTCTTTCTCTCTCAGGCTGTCTCTGTTTCTTTGTTTATGTCTCTTCCTTGTTCGCTGCTCTCTCTCTTCTCTCTCTCTCTCTCTCTCTCTCTCTTTCTCTCTCTCTCCTCTCTCTCCTCTCTCTCTCTCTCTCTCTCTCTCTCTCTCTCTCTCTCTCTCTCTCTCTCCCTCTCTCTCCCCTTCTCTCTCTTCTCCCTCCCTTCTCCCTCTCTCTCCCCTCTCCCTCTCTCTTCTTCTTTTCTTTTCCGAAATATCATTTATTCTCCCATAAACTACACCGTCTGTACTATTCCCTTCAGACCTCGTTGTATGACAGGGTTGTTTAATATTTATTATGTCGTGAATGGGTCTCTTTCAACCGGAGATGATTAACCTTTTGATTCAATTAAGATTATTCGGGTTTGATAAGTCTCGCATTGACGGATTTCTGTTGCCTAATTACTTTTTGGGATGGATCG